TATATATATATATATATATTTTATACAGGGAACCTGTATAAAAACTTTCACTGTATGCTGTTGAATAACAGCACGTGGCAATAGGTCGTGATTATCCAGTACACCAGCATTATCCCCATTGCTTATTTTTCAAAGCAAGTTTTTCTGTAATGGAACATTTGATTTTTTATTACGTGATTTTTAGTTTTTTTTTTTATCCACACCAGTTTTATGTCATTTGAACTCTTAGTTTCTCTCAAACACTCGATTAAAGCTCATTTCAACACCAAAATATATCATTTTCACAAAGCAAAACATGAATCCGAAGGGTTTTGCACTGCAAGCCTATTCTGAACAAAACAAAGCAAGCAAAAACAGCCATGCGTCCTAGAGCTGTTCATGGAGTCAAATCTGGCTAAGGCACAGAACCTGGTAAATACTAAACATGTTATAGAAGAACCAAACACACTGACCACATCAATGCAAGATTAATTATTTAATGAGTATGATCCTTCACCATTACAGTCATCAATCACTCAATCAACCTGCGCATCAAGTGAGCTCTGCTTTATGGTCCTATGCGTATAACGCACCAGTGCAGGAGTGAGATCAGGGGGGCACGGAGACAAACAGACCACGAGAAAGGTTTCTGTTGCCAGGCTTCAGAAAGGCTGTGATGCACTGATGTCATCTTGGTGCAATCCTTCATTTGCTGTACAAGTTCGTGATCAGACTGTAACTTACCTTCCGAGGTGAGCTGGTGCAGCAGTCACTAAATGTTCATCTGAACAGCGAATAATCTCAATGACTGGGGAAACGTTCGAGTCATATATCCGTTCACAATTTTATTGTTGGAGCAGAGTAATAAATAAAAAGTGCAAGCGTCCAGTTTTTGTCCCCGTTTCGAGAAGTCATCTATCAAGAGTGAGGGGGGGGGGGGGAATCACCAGCAAAAACCTTTCCTGCGGACACGATGTCGATTATAATGCATTTTGCCAGCCGTTTTAATACGACTGCGATCAAGCGCAAAGACGCGTCGAGACGGCTGATGTCCAAGCGCTTGCTTTCTCCTCATCTGCGCTCTTTATATGGATGCGCTCGAGAGTTCCCCTGGGTCCTAAAGCTCGCGCTGGACAGGACCGTTTGTTTTCATGATTTATATGTGTATTTATTGTTTGTGCTTAATTCAGATGTATACTAGGTGACAATACAACAACAGCGCATACCAGCTTCCCGGCGTGGCTGTTATTACGGTAGGCTATGTTAGAACGAAGCGTGCGTTGTTGACCAATCAGAAGCCAGGACCAGAACTTTGGTTTATAAATTAAACAAACTCAATCACGCATTGAGATCAGATTATGACAACATGTGCATAGACAAACAAATTAATAACAACATTCAAATAAAATCTTAAGAAGTGGTATTAAAATTAAAATATGAAAGTAAATATTTATCTTCCTTCCTAAATTAGGCCCGTTCTTCGTATGTCGCTAACTCAGTTAGCTGGATTTGATTGTTGATGATTTGGCGTGATCTTGGATTGGTTGGTTCTTCGAAGCTCATCCCGGAGTTGCTGTCAGAGCCAGTGTTGGGGAAAGTTACTTTTAAAAGTAATGCGTTACAATATTGCGTTACTCCATAAAAAAGTAACTAATTACGGTACTTAGTTACTTTTAATGGAAAGTAATGCGTTACGTTACTTTTGCGTTACTTTTTAAATCTGGACAGGGCTTGCTTGTTTGTTTTTAAAATAAAAAAGTTATATTTTTGGCGAATATAAAAGCCTTTCACACCAAAAGTGAAATGAATAAGCCTCAGGCTGAAGGGAAAGTACATTTACGTCCGTACAGTAGAAAGCAGAAGAAGAAATTTCAACACAAATGTTCGTCTAGAGTAATTTGTGCTTATTAGTACGGTTGAACTGGATCATCGAAGGTCAACTTTTCATCTCGGATGTAATAAGCGGCGTACGAAGAACGGGCCCCTGTTCTTTGTATTATACAGCTGTGAGCCACAATCTAAACAGACAAATTACAGTGAAATTATTTAATGCTGTCTACATCAATATTGTATATTTGGCATGTTAAATCTTAATGTCAAAAACGTGCATGTTGTTTATTGTTTTAAGAGAGAGTATAAGGAACAGGGCTGGCCCTGATCAATTTGGTGCCCTATAGACTAGATTTTAGCTGGTGCCAGCCAATTCCACCACCAATCATTCACACAGAAACTGCATAGCTTTACCACATAAAACAAATAAAACATAGGCTGCAATATAAGTAAGAGTATTGCACAAAAAACGGACATTAAGGCAGCTACCTAGATATTTAAATGAGAGCACTTCAAAGGTAAATGCAATATATAATCTAAACTTTATCACATTGTAAAATTCCAATACTAATATGTATGTATTAATTCCTTCATTTCAGATATTCTTAAATTTAGGGATGCACTGATCTTGATTTCGCATGTCCGAGTCTGACTACCCATTTTCTTACAAGCAAATCTGATTCCTATTAATTAATACATATAAAAAAAATTTTAAGCAAGAGACAAGAAAGAATGAAAATATGAGTAAACGAACAAGAGGTTTATTTTGCACTATTGCAGGCCAAATCATTATCATCATTCATAATCATAATCAAATCCCAAGTATGGGCAATAGTATATAACCACACCTGGCTTATCAAACACAACTAATAAAAATAGGGGGAAAGGCTGAAGATTTGATTCTGCATAAAGTTGGTGATTTGCAGAATTTAGACCCTATGTAGAAATTAATTTTGCAAATAACTGGGGGGGGGCCTGCACTGATGCTCTCAACTGTGCAGCAGTGATTTTAGCAGGATAATATAAAACAAGAAGTGCTTGGGTCTGGACCACAGCAGGTTAGGTGTTGTTTTTGCTAACTTTATTCAGACGCTCAATTGCAACACTGCCATCCAGTGTTTAAAAAGTAGAAGACAAACGGTTTATGTATTTAGATGCAATATTAAAGGGATAGTTCACCCAAAAATGAGGAAGTTGATGTTTATCCGCTTACCCCCAGGGCATCCAAGATGTAGGTGACTTTGTTTCTTCAGTAGAACACAAATTATGATTTTTAAGTCCAGCCGTTACAAAACCGACTTAAAACTAAAAGATTGCATTCTCTCGCGCAAACTCATTCGGGAGTGGTGACTTTCCACGTATTCCCAACTTCTGAGCCTGCTCGCCTGAAGTTATGGTTGATTGCTCTTCGGCTGGATATCAACACACCCATTAACGTAAACTACGCCAGAGCGCGTACACACCTCACGCACCGGATGCCGTGCACGCGCTCAAAGACAGTTGGACATAGTGGTGTATTAGAGGTAAAAAAATGATATAAATACTGTTCGGTTTCTGGCACAAACCGATCGTGTCGTGTCGTTACGAGCCGCAGGGTTTAATTTGGATTTGTCTGTGCATGTTTTTTTTACTCATAGATTTTGTTACCATTGCCATGCATTATACAACTGACAGACTGCAACGGTTGGACTTAAAAATCATCATATGTGTTCTGCTGAAGAAACAAAGTCACCTACATCTTGGATGCCCTGGGGGTAAGCAGATAAACATCACATTTTCATTTTTGGGTGAACTATCCCTTTAAAGGTGAATTCCATTAAAACGGGTACAGTTTTGGAGCATTAAGATTTTTGTGACATTATTTATCAGCTATATCTATGTATGTATGTATATATATGCACATGCAGAAGTAGGCTATAAGAATCTTCACGAACATACAGGTGCATCTCAATAATTTAGAATGTCATGGAAAAGTTCATTTATTTCAGTAATTCAACTCAAATTGTGAAACTCGTGTATTAAATAAATTCAATGCACAAGGAACAGTAGCTTGCTAATATTAGGGCTAACCCTAACAACTATAAAATTAGATCCTTATTTTTGAAAGAGAATATTTCTACGCCTTCTGTTATTTTCTACTGGAACAATATCTTTAATAATGTAAAATTGGACTCAAGTTTGGACATTACCTCAAAAATTCCTCCTTACAAATAAGGCTAAGGAAATCTAATATAAATTAATTCATAGAGTTTATCCTACAAAAGAATTTCTACACATTGTTTTTTATTGAAATTAATTTCAAGTGCTCTTTTTGTGAATGTTCCACTGAAACATTTTCTCATTTATTTTGGTCCTGCTAATATACCCAGCATTTTTTTAATATTGTGGAGGTTTTCATTGTTTATAATATTTTTAAAACATTTTCCTTATCTTATAAACATGTGATTTTGGGTTATTATTATATCAGGGATTGCTCTTTAAAGGATGTTGGTTTTATTATGCACTTTATTTTATTTGTATGTAAATTTCACATTCATAAATGCAAGTTTACAAAGGGCAAACCTCTTTTTATAGTGCTTGAAAAAGAGAATAAAATGTATATAGATGTGACGTCAAAATCTAAAAATAGTAAAGCAATTAAAATGGTTATATGCTCCTCCTTTAACATTTTCACATAAAAACAAAAAACATTTAATGGTTCTTACCTGCAAAGTACATTTTCTGTAATGTAAAATATATAACGTGTAAAATATGTATAATACATATTTGTCTGTAAACTGATGCTTATGTACCCGCTCTCCTTTTTTCCCTCTTGTTCCTTGTTCCTTCTTGTCGATGCATGTGAAATGTTCTTTGTTATACAGTGGGAGATGGCATTGTACATGCTATTTGTTAAAAAATATGAACAAATTCTGCACCAATTAAGTAAAACAACGAGAATATGTTTACAATTGGGTGCGTATTCAGTCAATAGAGAAAAATACAAAAAGCAAAGGCAAAAAAATAGACCAAACTATCTTCAGTGCTAAAGGTTACAACAATGGACAAACACTTAAGGAGATCAAGGCACAAAACAGAGACATCAGATGAGTAACTGCATCAGCTAAACAATTAATTGAAAATGCATTAGCAATAAGTAATCTTTTTCGTTTGTGCACGTGCGCTTTAGTTTTGAAATATTCTTCAGGAATATGTTTTTGTTCAAAGGACCTTGAACTTTTGGTGCGCGGATTTTTGCACATGCTATATGTTAACAATAAAGCATTAAAGGGGTCATATGATGCGATTTCAAGTTTTCCTTTCTCTTTGGAGTGTTACAAGCTCTTGGTGCATAAAGAAGATCTGTAAAGTTGCAAAGACTAAAGTCTCAAATCCAAAGAGATATTCTTTATAAAAGTTAAGAGTCAGCCACGCCTACCTAAAACGGCTCGTTCTAACACGCCCCCACATGTCTACGTCACGATGTGGGAAGATTTGCATAACGCCACCCAAATGTTCACGCAAAGAAAGAAGGCGTAACTTTTATTCTCGCTGTAGTATTGTTGTTGCCGCCGCCATGTCGTGAAGACGCTGTGTTCTTTGTTGTGAAAGCGAAACTACTTTGTTTGGTCTTCCAAAAGAGGACGATATCTGCTTCGTCATGCCTGGAGCTGATCCGTGCTGGCCGCTGAGGGAATGCAACAGTATGGTGAGGGGCGTAACATTTCCGTCACACGCTTGAGGTATTTGGCCAATCACAACGCACTGTATAGCTGGCCAATCACAGCACACCTCGCTTTTTCAGACCGATGAGCTTTGTAAAAATTGACGCGTTTCAAAAAGGCGGGGCATAGAGGAGAAACAATAATGTACAGTATGTGGAAAATAACGTGTTTTTTTTTTTTTTACTTTAAACCGCATAAACATTTCATTACACCAAATACACAAAATAATGTTCTTTTTAGCAACATCATATGACCCCTTTAATAATCAAGTATTAGGGCTGTTGTTGTTGTTGTTCCTCCATGCCTGCAGATGGCAGTAAAGTGTTGCTGCACCCAGACATTGGCGCACAGGCGAGCTGAACTCATACCTGTTCCACAGGAAGCAGGACTGGACTACACTTTATACAACAGGCAGCAAAAACGACTTCAGGCTGGGCAACGATACGCTACCACGGAGAAGAAAACTCCATCCACCCCGGGGGAAAGTCGAGAAGGAGGGGAGGCCCTGCAACACCGGAGGT